GCTCCAAGTATGGCGCATTTTACAGAGTCTAGAAGATTCGTGCCTACGGGTGGCAGAAACGCCCACCAGCTGCATTTTAAGCTCCGAGTGTGCTGCTACGCATTCAACAGGGGACCTGGGAACCACGTCCTTACAGGAAAAATGTCGATCTCACAAACGGTTTGCTGTTCATCCTCTGTGCCGGAAGATGTTTCAAAGTCAGCTGCAACACATCAAACATTTCGTATCAAGCCTGGTTCTACTTACGTGCGCGGAAATGGTTTCAAAATCTACCGGGGAGTTCCATTGGGATCCGAGCAGCCAAAGCTCCTAAGCAAACCATATCAGCTACATAAGTAACAACGAGCTTTTTCTCACCAGACTAGAAGCCATCGGTCTCCAGTAGCCTTAGAAGAGCCGCCACAACCGCGCTGCTGGAGATGTCTAGGCCAGGATTTCCAGTCTTTTCAAGCAGCAGCGCGTCCACTCTCTTCCGGAGCTCCTTGATGAGCACAGCGATCCGAGCCGGGGCCTCAAACTCCAGCCAGCCATCCACCACGATCATCTGCCTCTCGTGACGAACGCTGATGCTCCCTCCGAAGATGAGAAGGCTGTAAGCCGGAACCATGGACGTCTCCCTCGCATACACCTTGGACGTCTTCACCATGTCCGTCACTACCAGCCAGGGGCTCTCGAAGTGCCCCGCCGAGAAGTTAACGCTGGCCGGATGGAGAAACACCCTGCCGTCGAGCCTTGTGAAGTACTGGACCTCGTGAGCTGCCGCTAGCTTTGGAACGGTTCCACCCTCGGTCTGAACGTAAGTCTTCTCGGGGTGGCGAACTCTCGCGATTTTTGGATAGAAGCCGGCACAGACGACTGCCTTGATAACTCTGACGCTGTTGGAGCTTGCCTCGAGGCTGGATATATCACCGGGTACGAATCCAAGCTCTCTGAGTACGTTGAGGTAGTCTTCGCGGCTGGCTTCTATGCTGGCTAGAGCTTCCCGTGACAAGAAGTTGGAGGCGCAGTAGTCCTTTTCGGCTTCCCATCCGTCTCGTCTCGCGGTGATCCATCCGTTGTAAGCAGCAACGAGAGCTATGTGGTCGCTCTTGCTGGTCCCGGACAATCTCAGCTTTGCTAGTCTCGCCTCCTCCCTGTTGTCCTGCGGGGAGAAGAAGACCGGGCGTCCGCTCATGCTGGCAGCTATGGTGAGGACCGGATCGAGGCACTTGAGCATGCAGCCGAAGACGAGCATTTTCCCGACGCGAGCATCCACGGGCATCTGTGTAAGATGTCTGCCGAGGGGTGTCAAAGTCTCGTTCTCCGCATCAAACGCGTTGATGTCCTTTAGTGACTGAACTGCTGCAATAACAGCGTCCGGGTCGGGAGGCGTGGGCATTTTAGATAGAGTTGATTGTACTTTTGATTGAAGAAGCGACTTGACCTGCAAAGAGCTCCATGAAACCAGCTATTGAAAGATTCTTTCTTACCTTAAGACAAAGTCCTTCAAGGGAGACTCTTTGTATCTCTGGAAGCTGGTGATCATCGAAAGCTTTGAACTGCTTCTTGCTGTAGAGTCTGAGACAGCAGCCAGGCTGAACACGGCCAGCACGACCAGCCCGCTGCTTGCAACTTGCTTTTGAGACCCAGGTCTCCTGCAAGCACGACAAGCCTTTCGAATGATCATAGCTCATTTCCTTGTGACGTCCTGTATCGATCACATACCTGCGAGAAGGACATCAAAACCATGTCGGAGGAAAAACAGGAAAATATACTTACAATATGTCGTCAATGGTGATGCTAGTTTCAGCAACATTCGTTGCCAGGACTACTTTCCTCACACCCCGCGGAGGCCTCACAAAAACTCGCTTCTGTTGTTCACTCGAGAGCGAGCCATGCAATGCCAGGACCCACTTTTTTTCAACACCATATGCTGATAGTTGCTTGGAATTTTGAAGCCTGGCCTGAAGTTTGCTGATTTCCATCATTCCAGGAAGGAAAACCAGCACGGATCCAGCTTCTGGTTTCCAGTTGCTAGTATCATCCACCGCTACCAGAGGTCCATAAATATCTGAAACTTCACGTTCAAGTGAAAAGACGGTGGACAGCAATAGCTCGATAAGTTCGTAATTGATTACGCTCTCATCAACCGTGTCCAGGCTCCGCATAGTAGCTTCACTGTATTCCATATTTGTTTCAGAGTTTTCGCCTACCCTGGATTCCCAACTGTCAAAACTGTTCGAGGCAGATGTTGTCATTACTTCGCTCTTAGCCTTTTTATTCGTCGCAAATCGAGAGTTTTTTGTTACTTTATATCCTGTCAGCTCTAGGACGTCGTCCAGATGTAATTCTCGAACTGGGAATGTAAAGCCTTGTACTCGAAGAAGTTCGGGGCGAAGACCCAAGCCTTGCTGGAAATAATCAGAAAATAAGCTTGTTTCTGCTGTTGCCGACATCAAGATAACGCGGATTTTGCCTCTTGTTCTGTCACAACAAAGCGAAAATATCAGAAAATAAAGATAAGATACTAGCAAATTACCAGCCAACCTCTGTATATGCTCTCTGAGAAGTAATAAAAGAAGATCACTTTCAAGAGTCCTCTCGTGCACTTCATCTACAATAACATGGGTAACGCCTTCTAGCTCTGGATCAGACAGCAACCTCCTCAACAGAATTCCCGTTGTGCAAAACAGCAGTCTCGTGAATTTAGAGCAGCAGCTATCCAGACGCACGGAGTAGCCAACCTGAATAATCACACCAGATTTTTATGGAGTCAATAGTAAACTGCTATACTTACCACTCTTCCAACGACTTCATTGCGTTCCATGGCAACACGAGCAGCCAGACCAAGAGCAGAAATTCTTCGGGGTTGGGTGCAGATAATGTTACAGCTTCCTCCATTCCCCATTTCAATCTCTTTTTCGAGAACGTATTGAGGAATCTGAAAGAGAAACACACTTAAGAAAATGGCAAATAGCTTATGACATACCTGTGTACTTTTTCCACAGCCGGTTTCTCCACAAATAATAGTCACTGGGTTGCAGCTTATCCCTGCAAGTATTTCAGATTTTCGCTTGAAAACCGGTAAACTTCTTCTTGATGTCATGATGTCTGCGTATTGTCGTGACGTCTGGAGTCTTTCCCAGTCATCCTTGAGCCTTGTGCTTTCAGCGGCACAATCTATTTCATCCCACTGCCGGCTGCTTCTTTGCTTCCCAGCGACCACATGAGCTTTACTGTCTGCAGAGGTATGACGTTTTACATCTCCTCCTCGATCATCAACCTTTACTGGCTCTGAAAGAAGTTGCAAAGATACCTCGGCTGCATAACAAACCAGATCGTAGATCATCGGTATGCCAAGTAATTCCAAAGCACGGTTAGCCACCTTCTTCGTCACGGCTTGTAAGTACGAGGCATCCAAATCCTTGCATCGGAATCCTAGAACTGGAATTTCAAAAGGATAGGAGCTATCAGTTGAGATTCTAACCTGCAGCGTACCAGTATATTTAAGTATTAAGCGAAGAAGAGTGTAAGCAGTATTACCTCCATCTCCAATCTTTTCCCGGACTGTGGTGGAAGCTCCACGTCGAACTTTAAGAGCTCGTTCGAAAGAACAGCCGTGGGATATATGGCGCCGATTGCTACCAGTTCTTCCTCCCTCATAGCTGAAAGGTCCGACCAGGAAACCGTAGCTTGAAGTGTCTTCGTCCCTTGGACCGCAATATGGAAAAGCTTGGAGATGGCTAGATCGAAACTTCCGGTCTCCTGGAATGCTGCTACACACTGCTCATAGGAGTACCCGTACTGAGCAAGTTCTAAAGCGATAGCGTTCTGAGTTGGATCAAACTCGACTGCTCGTTGTACTACACGAACGGCGGCCTTGGACGCTTGAGGAGCAAACCGAGCCGGGAGATCACTTTCATCGACGTTTAGCATGAGCCAGTCGAGTGCAGATGAAATGCTGTTCGCCCGTTCTAGAGCCGACTCGATGTGTTCTTCCTTGAAACCCATCTCTACTAATGAGGACAGCGCTTGAGCTTGATCCTCAAAGTCGGGAGCTTCCTCTACACTGCCAGTGCTGTCTGTTATCACCTCTTCCACCAGTTTTCTGTTCCCCTCGCTCATAAAAACCGACTGAAGCTCTCTGGGCGGATAGGCAACCCTTTTCGGCTTCTCCAGCTTCATCTTGAGCTTTGCTTCACGCTCTGCGGCAGCAGCGTCGAGATCATGCCACTGCTGTCGATACTCCTCGGGAAGTATTCGATCCAATCTACATGAATAAGCGCATTGATCTATAAAAACTATAGCCTTGAAACCATACCTGCGGTCTCCCATTACGTGATGCAAAGCCATTACCGCTGCTCGGTGGTGTGATTCCTGTGAGCTTGGACTATCAGCTCGGCACCAAAGTATAACATCCAGTTCACTCTTCTTAGCATCTGGTAAGATCACCCGGCAGTGAAAGCTCCCTTCATTTTGAACCTATAACCAAAGAGAAAAAGCTCGAGCATGACAAAGAGGAGGTAAATACCGACATGCATGAACTTTGGAGATGGTCTCTTGTTCTTCTGGCACCACTCGTGCAAGAGAGTTTTCGGCGTCTTCACTGGATACGAGGAAGAAGAAGAAGAAGAAGAAGACTGCTGCTGCGGAGCATCGGAGGAAGAAGAGGAGGAAGCTAAATTCTCCGTCGACGCCGGCGGAAGCTCCTCATCCGCGTGCTTGTTCTTGAGATGCTCCTTGAGGCGTCCATCCTGCTTGAAAATCCTGTCGCACAGGGGGCAGGGCAGCGGCTGCAAGGCAATCGATCCATTCAGAAAATGCCGCACTGTCGGATCGAAATCTCACAGACCTGGCCAGTGTTCTTGGCATTGACAGGCGCCGGCTTTCCGCCGCATCCAGCAGCTCCAGATCGATAGACGTGCCGCGACCGCGCCTTCGCAGCGCTGTTCATCCGCTAGAACCCTAGCAATACCCTAGAATCCAATCCAGTGGAAGATTTTAAAACGATTCCCCCCAAAACGAATATTTCCCCATTAAAAATCAACTGTTCTGCGGGCGTGTTTGGCTCAACAGTTTCTTCTAAACTTTCTACCTCCCGGGAATTTTTCTCTTCCAAATGGAGTACTTTAGCGCCCACAAGAAACTCTTGAGCAGTGTGATCTTTGTTCTTGCAAGCGTGATGATCCTGGGACTTTACTTTGTCAAGCCAGGAGCCTTTTATAATCTCGATTTTTTGCCGGATCACACCACCACTTCTTCCATTCCAACGAGCTCTTCTTCTTCTTCTTCTTCTTTCCCGTCCAAAGTTTTGCTCCAGCGCTTATCTGAGAACGGCACACGGGAATGCCACAACGTGAGTACCGCAGCTGCGATCCTGTTTGGGCTTCCCAGAGCAGAGAATGAAGGCGAGGTTACCTTGTCCACCGGTGTTCTTCACAAGCTCTGGATCGTCTCGTATGCTGGCGATGGAAGTAGGCGGTGCTTTGGAGGAGATTTCTTCGAGACAGATCTCTCAGGTACGTTACACTTGAAAGACGCTAAACGCATCCAGAGCTTTGATCCCCTGGAAAACAGGTCCCAACTGGAAGTCACGACCACCAGTAACAGATGTGGGAGATGGCTCCTACCTTGTGGAGCTCAAAGTGGACGACGAATTCGCAGGACCTTACACCTTCAAAGCCATCCTCCTGTTTCCAAACTTTCATGGCTTGGATCAGCAGCCAGACAAATGGGCTCTCAAGAAACAGATGTTCTTACTGAAAATTCGCTTTGCATCCAGAAGCAGCATCTTCAAGTCCCGACCACTCCCGATCTGCAGCAGTAGCGACTTTAGATCGAACACAAGATGGTCTGGCAAATGGACGAGAACGAAATTTAACGAGTCATGCAAACTAGACAAGGAAGGACGTTACCGCTGCTTGGATGGAAACGAGAAGTGCGACGAGAGCCAGTGTAGCGGAGCTATCGCGAGCTTGGAGAGCAACGGTTGGGTGTACTCGGCACACTGTAAGTTCCAGATATGGAGCTCGAGCGAAGCATGGAAGTGCCTGGACGGGAAGAAGATCTTCTTCTGGGGCGACTCAAACCACCAGGACACCATCCGGAACCTCATGAACTTCGTGTTGGGATTCCACCACAACTCCATGCCACGGACATTCATCGCCAACCTCACCAATCCGTCGCACCCCTCGCAAAACTTCACCGTGGTGGAGATTTTCAACGGCCACACCAATCCAAACCTCAACTTCCTGGGCCTCGCAACACTCGACGAGCCTCTCTACCGCGCATACGTGACGCAAGAATTCCTCCGCGGCTCCCCACCCGACGCGCTGATCCTCAACTCCGGGATGCACGACGGCGTCCGATGCAGCAACGCCAGCCAGTTCCTGGAATCCGCCACGGCCGCCGCGCAGTTCTGGAAAACCCTAGCCACGGGGGATAAGATCAAAGCGAGGACGCCGCGCGTGATATTTCGCTCGACGATCACTCCGGCGGGCGAGTCGCGCTCCATGCCCTCGAATCCACAGAAGATGGAAGCATTCAACCAGGTCCTCGGGGACGAGATCCGGAGAGTGCTTGGCGAGGGCGTGCTGCTCGTCGATGCCTACGACATGACCTTCCCCTGGCACTACGATCACAGATACAGTGATGGCGGTCACTATGGGAGGCCGCCTTCCCTGACGCCCTGGTATGGCGGCATCGGCCACTACTACTTCGCTGACCTAATGCTCGTCCACGCCCTCCTCACGGCCATTTGCTCGTAGCAAGAAAAAGCTTTCCCGCGAAAATAATATGGGAATCTTGTCGTGCTTGAAATTTTAACGCGGGAGGATATTCGGCATCTTGCGCTTTGAATATACCAGATCTAGGGTTGTGATTTAGGTGGGGTGTGGGCCGTCAGATGCGCACGAAATTTTGTTTGGAGAACACATTCTCGCCAAAAACAGGGCTGTGGGATTCCAGGGCCCGGCGACGCTCTTTAGGAGGGGCGGGGATGGATCGCGGCCTCCTGGATTAGGTCTTGGCGGGATCGATCGATTCAATCGCGGCGGCGGCTCGAGATGTGGGTCTTCTACACCTTCGCCTTGCCGACGACTCTTGCCCTGGTAGGGGGGACGCTGCGCTACTTCTCGGCGCCCAGCGTACCCACCTATGTGCTAATCACCGTCGGGTACGCGTGGTTTTGCTCCCTGTCGATCATAATCCTGGTGCCGGCGGACATCTGGACGGTGAGTGCGCGGAATTTCTCTTCCGATCTCTAGGGTTCTTGGCAATTCATAAACCCTGGAAGCTCAAATCTCTCTTGTTTCTTCCACAGACGCTCTCGGATGGAGATCCAACGCAGGTTAGTATGTTTTGGGGCTGGTCTTACTGGAGTACGTTCATTCTTACATGGTGAGTGAGCTCTTTCAAGCTTCGCGTGGAAGTTCCGTTTTTTTCTTACCATTTCTTCCTCCAGGATTATAGTTCCTCTCATGCAAAGTTACGAAGATGCCGGGGACTTTACTGTAAAAGAGAGGCTGAAAACCAGCGTCAAGGCAAACGTTGTCTACTACGTCAGTGTTGGTGTGATCGGCATAATTTGCATCGTCATTCTCATCTCGCTCGACAAGCTGAAATGGTATGAAGCTCATTAATAGTTTTTGCGTTGAAGGGAACTCAGTGTTCTATTCTATCTTCCAGGAGTGGTGTTTTTGGCTTTGCCATGACGTGCTCGACACTTTTTGGGTTGATAACTGGAGCCTTTCTTCTTGGTTTTGGTTTCATAGAAATTCCTCGGAGCATGTGGCGGAAGGCAAACTGGCAGTACCGCTTCAAGTTCCTTACTCATCGTGTTGCCAAAGTCGCCGTGAATTTGGATGATGCCCATCAGGAGCTGTCGACTGTTGTTGTGGTGAGCATAGTCAGCTACTTAGGCTACATTTGCTTCTTTTGACACCTGATCTTTGCTATAGATTTTTCGTCTCTACAGATTTGCCAAGCCATTTCTAACCAGATGTCGAGACGAGACGTCTTACGGCCGTGTATGGACTTCATTGAGCAAATGTTGGTTGAGATGGTACATGTTCTTTACCTTTTCATAGCCTTCTGGATGATAACATTATTTTCCTCTCAGATGCAAGAAAATCCATCCTTCAAACCATCTGCGGGGCGTATGAGTGATAACGACATGGAATATGACCAAGACATAAGCGGGATGGCGGAACTAAGGCGTCGTCTTAGACAGGCGCACTTCACTTTTGCAAGATATAAAAGGTGTGTTCTATCAACGGTTTTTTCTTCATTGTTTACTACAAGTTGTTCCAGTGAATACGGGGCTCTTGTGTTGGAGGCTTTAGAGTTGGAAGATACGATGAAAAATTATGAGAGGGGTGCGGCTGAACAATGGTGAGATTTTCTTACGGGGTTTCGAAATTTGCACTGATTAATTTTTTTTCAGGCTTTACACATCAGGGATTCGACCCCCAAGAACTGGCACCATGGCTCGTCGTCTGGACCATCTAGGTAATTCCTCCTCTGATATGCTATTGGCATAAACGTGGTTTTGCTGGTTGTAGAATGGATTTGGCGATGTAGCTTGAGACCAAAAATCCTGCGGTTATTTGCTATTATTTTTGGTGGTATGACAGCTGCATTATTGATCGCTGAGGCCACCTTGTTACCGGCTAAAGTCGACCTTTCATTCTTTTCATTCTTGATAAACGTTACCTCCGACAGCGAGATATTAGTGCAGGTTTGATTTTTGCTGCTACTCTTGCTCGTCATCATACCGAACTTCTATTTCCGCAGGTTCTTGCGTTCGTACCTGTGATGTATATGTGCGCATGCACGTATTTCTCTCTCTTTAAGCTTGGAATGTTCACATACTATTACTTTGCACCCAAGTATACAAATGCCGTGAGCCTTTTGATGATTTGCTCGTAAGAAACTCCAGCTAAATTTTCTGTCATTTGTGAGTAATCAAATTGTCATGCTTGTTGTGGCAGAATGGTCTCGCGCTACGCACCGCCAGTGTGCTACAACTATCTCGGATTGATCAGACTGGAGGACGAGCGTCACAAAAACACCGTCTTTGAAAAGGTATGGTCATGAATTTGCTAACTTTCTACTTGAACAGTGATCCCATTGCCTTTGCAGCGAATGGGAGTTTCTTCGTCAGGGAATTTTCTTTACACTTTCAATAGAGTGTATCCGATTTTTATGGTGATATACACGGCTGTGATCGCCACCAACGCTCTCAACCGTCTCATTGACTTTTTCGGGAGCTGGCGGAGATTCCGCTTTGACGAGGAGGCCGAAGAAACAGATGGATGCAATCCATCTGGTGTGATTATCATCCGCAAAGGTACGTACTGAAGCTCTATTTTTTCTTTTCTTATTTGGTGCCGTTTACAGAACGGGCATGGTTGGAGCGAGGATCGGCTATTGGAGAGCACCTTGTGCCACTAGCACGAAACTTTGGCAGCGAGGCGGATCATCAGGAGACAGAAGCAATGCTGCAGCAAGTAAGAAAGTTTACTTCGCAGTTTTCTCTAGTGCTGATAGAAGAAGCTTTGTTCCAGGGACCGCAAGAGCCGTTTAAGATCCACGCAAATGGCCATCAGCAGCACGCTGGTCCCCTTCCAAAGAAGGACGCCAACCAAGGATTCTCAGCTCCACCGCCAGCTCCAGCCCCGCCGCGAGTTCCTCGCGGCCCCCACGCGGACATCGCCGCAAAGTACATGGCGATGCGCGAGCAAAGGAAGGAAGGCCGGGGGCAGCCGCAAGTCGGGATGACAAACTTCTCCAGAGCTCCGCCTCCGGTGATGCCGTTTATACCCGAGTCCATGCCGGTGGCGGTCCCCGTTGGTGGTGGTGGTGTTGGAGCTCCCGCAACGCGTTTTGAAGAGCAGGCATCGAGATGGAAGTTTGCTCTCCCGGAGTCTTTCTCGGGGCACAGCCAGAATTTGGCGGCGTCGAGAGAGCCCCCACGACCGGTGGCGCCGTCGTCCGCCGATACTCTAGATAGCATCTTCGACAGCTTGAGGACGAGACGGGAGTTCGACGAAGAGGGTGACGACGTTGGTCTCACGCTATTGCCGAGGCAGTGAGACCGATGGTGTTGATACGTTTTTTCTTACATCCAAGGCTTCGTTCGCTGCTCGTCTCACTCAGCATTGTAGGTGCACGTAGCTCTCTCGCAACTGCTCGGCGTGGATCTCCATTTCTCTGATGGTGGCCTCGGCCCTCTCGTGTAAGATGGTTGGAACGCGCACCATTTCTTGCCGGAACCAGTCCCTGAGCGTCATCTCTGTGCTTTGGCTCACGGGCTTGGCTTTTTTGCTCGTCGTGGGCCGCCTCCGCGCTGCTCGAGAGGTGCTCTTGATCGATGCTGGTATCAATGCTGCTGCTGGAAAGCTCGGTAGTGCTGCTATCTCGAGTACTTTCTCTTTTGCTCCTTCACTTTGTTGTGGTCGAGGAGCCACCACCACCACTTCCTGTTCTATGCGTTCTTCCATGGCGTCGTTCTTCACGTTTTCTCCCTGGCCCGCTAGATCTTCTTCTTCTTCTTGGGCGTTTTGATCGCCCTCTTCTTTCACGGATTCCAGCTTCCTGGAGCCCGATCCATCGTGAAAAATGACCCTGATCCGGGTGTCCACCCCAATTCGCAGGAGGTCGTCGTTGTAGAGCCTGTAGGGCGTCTTGACCCCGATCGAGACGCCGTTCACGGTGGTGCCATTGGAGCTTCCCAGATCCTGGGCCGCCCACGCATCGTCCACCCAGTCCACAGACATATGCTTCTGCGAGATTGTCTCATCCTTGATCTGGAACCTGTTTGTTCTTGTGCGCCCGATGGTGATGTGCTTGAGCCTCCCGGAATCAAACGTCGTACCTTGGACGATCCCCTCCTCCACACGCAGCGTGAGAGGCGTCGGCATCTTCTTGGCGCTGCCAATGTCGCTGCTGAGCGCCCGGATCGATCGCCTCTCATCCAAGAACCCTAACCCTCGCAAGAGGAAAAGTAGCCGTTCGTGCATTTCAAATTTTGGCGCGGCTTTATTACAGGGCAAATTTTTGTTTTTCTAGGGTTCTTGGCCATGGCGACGCCGCTCCAGCGGATTGTGAATGGCGCTCCACCCGGTGAGTGAGGATTTGCTTGCTTCTATATGAATTCTTCTTCCACGCAGCTGCTTGGGAAAAATGCTGGGCGGAGAGGGTGACGCCGTGGGATTTGGGAGGAGTTACTCCATTAATCCAGCATCTTGTCTCGCAGGAGCAATTGCCCCAAGGAAGATGCTTGGTTCCAGGCTGTGGATCGGTAAGCAACTTTAGAATTTGTGCAATTACCTCGCGTGCTTTCTTTGATCTCTTATCTTTCATTTTCTTCTTCCAGGGATATGATGTTCTCGCATTAGCAAACCCTTCTCGGCATGTTGTAGGCCTTGATATTTCCGAGACTGCTCTTGAACGAGCCAAAGAGGTAAACGATTATTTCAAGCGATTTTTTTTTTTTCTTCACTTCATTTTTACAAATGCCTCTTTTTTGCACTAGTTGACATCAAAAAATACAACCAGCCAGAACTACGTGGAATTTAAAGCGGTCGATTTCTTTAGCTACAGCGAGCCGAAACCATTCGACCTCATCTTCGACTACACGTAAGTTGTTTCCTTGTGTACTTGTTTTTCAGTTTTTTCCAGATTTTTTTGTGCGCTGGAGCCATCTTTGAGACCAGCTTGGGCGAAGAAGATGGCTGAGCTCTTAGCGCGGGACGGCGAGCTTTTAACTCTCATGTATCCGGTGAGTGGAAGCTATCGTTCTTTAAAAGCTTTAAATACCATCGCAGGTTGGAGATCACGAAGGCGGTCCGCCTTATGCAGCGTCGCCCAAAGCGTGAGAACGTTTTTCTTCATCTTAGTTTTATCATTCGCATTTTTGTTACAGCTACGAAGCTGTTCTTCATCCATGCGGATTGCATGCTTTATCTTTAGAGGACAACAAGTTTAGCATTGGTGCACGAAAGGTATATAAAATCTTTTCGGTACAAACCTCCTGTGCAAGCCGTTCCTGTTCTTTTTTCACACAAAATCAGGGACGAGAGATTCTTGGCAGATGGAAGAAAACAACACCAAGGATTTGACTTGTGCATCAACACCAAGGTACCGCTTTTGTTAGCTTTGATTTTTGTCCATTGTCGATTAAAACTGTGTGTATTGACACTGAAAGTTTCCAGGTTTGACACCGAAGTTTTCCTGGAGCATAAAACAAGCCCGTGTTACTAGACTGGACTGGACCGGACAGTCCCCCAGCAAAAAAATATTATACTATACAGACAGAGAGGTTTTCCAGCGTCGAGATCTTTGACAGTGTCTGCCGCAGCCGAGATTCGAGACAACACGTGAAACGCATGCCACCGCTCGCTTAACTTACGATAATCGATTCCCCAGATCCCGCTGCCGCAATCACGTCTCCCATCTTCCTCCTGACGCGAGCAGCCTCCTCCTGCCTCCCTGCCGCCACGTAAATGTTGGACAGCAGCACATACGGCGCCTCGTTGAGCGGCTCCAGGCGGAAGAGCACCTCGGCCACACGAGCCCCGCGCTCGACATCGTTGTGTGCCTTGCAAGCCGCCAGCAAGCCCATCCACGCCACGAACTCGGCCTCGAACGGCATCACCGCCAGGAGCTCCTCAGCCTCCGCCAGCCTGCCCGCCCGGCCCAGCACCGTCGCCATGCACACGTAGTCCTCCAACTTGGCTGGCGCGCCGCAGTCCCTCGTCAAGCAGCCGAAGTAGTGCCGCGCCGACTCCAACAGCCCCGCCTGCGAGCACGCCGTGAGGACCGTCCCGTAGATGAAGCTGCTGGCCTGGACGCCTTCCAGCTCCATGCTCCGGCACATCTCCACGGCCTCGCCACCCCGGCCGTGCTGCGTGTAGGCGGCGATGAGAGTGCTCCAGGACATGGTGTCTCTCACCTCCATCTCGGCAAACACGCTCCTGGCATCGCCCAAGCTCCCACACCGAGCGTAGAGGTTGACGAGGGACGTCTGAACGACGCTGTCAGTGTGGAAACCGGCGGAGGTTACTTGCGAGTGGAGAGACTTCGCGAGGCTCAAGTCGGTGACACCTTGCTGGACGTAGGCCGAGATCATGGCGCTCCAGGAGACCGCGTCCTTCACAGCCATGGCATCGAAGATCTTCCTGGCCGCGTCTCCGTCACCACACTTGGCGTACATGTTGAGCAGAGCGTTCTGGAGCACCTCGTCCGTCGCAAGGCCCGTGGTGGTGGAAGCCAGCTTCTCGTGGACGGCCCGGCCTTCTTCCGCATTGCCGAGGCTGGCGCAGGCGCTCAAGACACTGGCCAAGGTGACGGCGTTGGGAGCCACGTCCATGGCTTTGTAGAGCTGGATCGCCTCCTCGCTGTGCCGGTGATGCGCGTAGGCGGAGATCATCGCGGTCCAGGAAACCACGTTCCGGATCTTCATCCTGTCGAAGACTTTGCGGGCGCTGTCGACGCTGCCGCACTTCCCATACAAGCTCACCAGCGCGTTCGCCACCGCCAAGTCCGGTTTGTAACCCGCGGCTTTCATCTGTGCGTGGACGGCCTTGCCTTCTTCGAGAGCTCCCAAGCTGGAGCACGCGCTGAGGACGCTGGCAAACGTGATCCCATTCGGCTCCACGCCCTCGGACCCCATCTTCCGGTAGAGATCCAGCGCCTCGCGAGGGTGGCCCTTCCGGACGTAAGCGCTGATGATCCCAGTCCAGGAGACCACTGTCCGCTGCTTCATCCCGTCGAAGACTTCGCGAGCTTCCGTGATGCTCCCACACTTTGCGTACATGTTGACGAGGGAGTTTTCAGCAGCGGCGTCGAACTGGAAGCCAGCGTCCACCATCTGCCGGTGGACTTCCTTCCCCTGCTCCAGATCCTCCACAGCCGAGCACGCAGCCAGCACCGTCGTGTAAGTGATCGCGTTTGGCTCCACCGGCGGCGACGACGATCCCATGCTCTTGAACAGCTCGATGGCTTCTCGGGGATGGCCGCTCTGCGAGTACGCCACGATCATGCTGTTCCAGAAGAGCACGTCCTTCCAGCGGCAGTCGTCAAACACCTCCCTCGACTCCTTCAAGCTCCCACACTTGGCGAACATCGTCACCAGAGCCGAGTCCACGAAAACATCCGGCTTGAGCCAGATCCTCTTCATGTGTGCATGGATCTCCTTGCCAACTTCCAGAGCTCGCGGACCCAAGCTCGAGCAGGCGTTGAGCACGGCCGAGAACGTAAACCCGTCTGGATCGATCGCCATGGCCTTGTAGAGCTTGATCGCTTCTCTTGCGAGCCCGTGCCTCACGTATCCAGCGATCATCTTACTCCAGGAGATGGAATCCCTCCTCCGCATCCCATCAAAGACCTTCTTTGCGTCCTCCAAGCTCCCACACTTGGAGTACATTTGCACCAGATGGTTCCCAACGTAGACATTCTCGTAGTACCCGTTCTTGACGACGTGCTCGTGGATCTTCTTCCCCGCCGCAAGCTCGCCGCAATCTCGCAGTAGATTCCCGTAGGCCGGGGCGCAATCCTCCTGCTGGTGGCTGTCGATCCACACCAGCGCATTGTCGAGGCCGCCGGGCAATGCCGATTTGCCTTGCTGCTGGCGCCGATTGTCGAAGAATGTGCTGTGCCTGCCGGATCGCTTGGCCTTACCTGGAGCGAGCCGGGTGCTGAAATCGCGAGAGACGATCGAGGCGCCGCGCACGAGCACGACCTTCCGCCAGGGCATGCTAGAACCCTAACTGGCCATAACGGTAGTAAAACCCTGGAATATTTAAAAGATGCCGAGAATGTTTAAGCGCTGTTTTGTTTGACCAAATAGGAAAGATTCCATTATAATGAAAGCTCATATGCCTTCGCCCTTGTCTCAATGAGTGGTCCTCATCATCATATCGCAAAACAAATGGAAGGTCGATCTTGACGATGAAAGCTTTGTTTTTACCAATGTCTAGCTCTGCCTTGGAGACCGCGATGGGAGTTTTACAATGGTAAATTGGAGGCGCTTAATTCGCGCCGGGTTTAAGGTAAAACAGGGTATTGCTAAACCCTCTAGCCCTAGGAAGAGCTCCAAGCGGCTCAGTGGGCCTGTAGCTATGGCGGATCCTTGCGCCGCGCTGCCCGATGTTCCTGCCAAGCGCGCTCGCGAGGAGGAGGGAGGCGGCGATGGCATGATTGTCGTCGAGAATGGCTGCGGTAAAGTGGCCAATGCGGCGGCGATTATCACGCATGAGGAGACCGCCCCTGCTCCGGGCACCGGGCGGGCCAATCTCTCGCGGATCATGCCCGGCTGGTTCTCCGAATTGAGCCCGATGTGGTCAGGCATGGATTTCTTCTCTTCTCTCTTTCCCTGTGCTTGTTCCTCCTCTTCCTCCATTGGAATGTGTCGGTGCCGCAAAACGTCGTGTGGAATGCATTCGTGGCGAGAGCTTTTTTTTACTTATCTTTTTGTGTGTGCTTCTTTCTCAGGCGAGGCTCATTCTTTCGAGGTGAAGAAGGTCGTCTTTGAGGGCAAATCAGACTTCCAAGATGTGGTTGTCTTCGATGTAAGATCATTGCTCGTGAATCAAGCTTTCTCCTCTCTGACTTCGCAAAATGTGTGTTTTTTTTCCAGTCGGTCTCTTATGGAAGGGTGCTCGTCCTGGATGGAGTGATTCAGCTCACGCAGAGAGACGAGTGTGCGTACCAGGAGATGATAGCACATCTTCCACTTTGCTCCATCGAAAACCCAGCAAAGGTGGCTCCAATGCGGCTGATAACTCACGGTTCTAACTCGAGTGTTCCAGGTTTTAGTTGTAGGAGGAGGAGATGGCGGAGTACTTCGTGAAATCTCCCGGCACGAGTCGGTTCAACAAATCGACATCTGCGAGATCGACAAAATGGTTGTCGATGTGAGTCCCTGTACTTTTGTGACGTGATGCTCAATCTGACCAGTGTGGGGTATTTTTCAACTACAGGTAGCGAAAGAATACTTCCCGGAGCTCGCCGTGGGATTCTCCAATCCCCGAGTGAACCTCCACATTGCTGATGGTAGAAATAGAAGTGTATTTCCAGACCAAAGCTTTGTTCTTAGTTCTTGTGAATGCTTGCAGGCGTGGCTTTTGTTCGTGATGCTGCTCCTGGAACTTACGATGCGATTATAGTTGACTCTTCTGATCCCGTTGGTAAGTTTTTTGCTTTGGAGAGTTGCATTTTCTTCTGTATGCCCTGCTGACAAACTTACTGAAATCTCTTTCTTGCAGGGCCAGCGCAGCAGCTCTTTGAGAAGCCGTTTTTCGAGTCCATGGTGAAAGCCTTGCGGCCGGGTGGAGTCGTTTGTACCCAAGCCGAGAGTCCTTGGCTCCATATGCCTATTATAAAGGACATAGTGGCAGCTTGCAGGCAAACGTTCAAGGGGTCCGTGAACTATGCCTGGACCACAGTACCTTCGTATCCAAGGTGGATGGCTTTCTTTTCGTTTACTTCGAGTTTTAACTTCCGAGTTCTAACTCACGGTTCTCTCGCAGTGGAGTTATCGGCTTCATGTTGTGTTCCACCGAGGGACCCGATGTGAATTTCCGGAACCCCGTCGTATCTCTGGATAAGCTGGAGATGATCACCATCGGCGAGGGAGGCTCGGAGAAGCGTGTACCGCTGCCTCTCAAGTATTACAACTCGGACGTAAGCTCTTTCACGTTTTCTCTTGAGTCACACTGGACACTGGAGCGATTGTCCTGCAGATGCACAAAGCTGCCTTTAGCCTGCCAATGTTTGCAAAGCGTGAGCTGGAGCATCTCCTCACGCCCTGAACCAAAGCGAGCAGGCCGGCAAAGGCCCTCCAGAGTAATGCGGTTCTTTCCTCGCAGATAATTTGGTACTGGGTCGTTCCTTTCAAAGTTATTATTAATGGGTGTCACCCGTGATGGGGTGTCCACTGCTTTTCAGCTATGTGCAGATTGGACACACTCACTCACGCAGCAGTGGCTGTACGTACGAGTATTCAGAGCAAAAAAATATATATTGAAAAAGAAAGTCACACACACTCGGTAGCGTTCTATCAGATCAAGCCAGCCAGCCGGCCAGCCAGCCATTTCTTACACGATTGGATGGGCCGGGAAGAATCCAATCGGCGAGAGAGATTGGTTCAAGCAGTCTATCATGTAAAAAAAAGGTATGAGTTGTTTCCCGATTCTTCTTTCCAGGGGCGAGTTTCGATCTTTGTTTTGCTACTAGTTCGTACTCTGATAAGACTGATAAGCTCGGGGTCTCTGTTTTTGTCCTTGCGCACAGGGGGAAATTTTTTGGAGAGATTGATCGGTCGGCCATGAAGAAGGAAAAGAAGAAGACAGACACGCGGAAAAAAGAAGAATAACGAGATGGTGGAAACAGCAGCGTAGGCTCGGTGGTTCGTGGTTTTCGTCAACGAAAGAAGGCCCGGTGAATAGAAGGAGCGAGGAGAAGAAGAAGAGAAAATAAAAGGATGAAGAGAGCTCTGAGCTATGGCGGAGTGGAGGTCGCGATAGAGACTCCCAAGCGAACAAGAGAGAGAGAGAGAGGAGAGCTGGAGAAATAAAAATGGTGGTGGATGGATCGATCTCCATTCAAGGCTTTTAATTTCATGTGTGGAAATGGGGACAACCCTGAAGTAAATGCCTAAGTATTGCGAGTGTGGTGTTTGGCCTTCTCCCGTGTGGCGCATCGCGGGAGCGCCATAGGTAGAGGAAAGCGGCGATCGATCCATCCGGGGGCCCGGCGGCGGCGAATCGATTCGAGCATTGGAATTTGCTCGCGGCGCCAGATCGCGGTAAGCGGAGCCTCTCTTTTCACCTTCTTGTTTGTGGAGCCCTACGATCTAGGGGAGGGAGAGGGAAAATTCTTGGCGCTAGGCTACGCGTCGCGTTTAGGGGCGCGCGATTGTGGCTGCCTGCCAGGTCTCCTCCGCCTCCTCAATCTCTCCTCCCTCTCTCGGAAGATCCTCTCTCTTGTGCTAGAGAGAAAGATCGCCGCTCCATCTGTCCTCTTGCGCTTGTAGCCGTTTGATTGCCAGCGTCTGATGCGCCTCGCCTTGGCTGCTTGTGCGCAGATCGGCCGATCGTGAGGAATCCGCATTGCCAGTGACGGGATTCTTCGCTCGCATCGACATGGATCGCAGCTTCTCGCCGTGGAAAGGATGCCGTCGCCAGTGTTACAGTGGATGGTTCTTGGAGGATGGGAATGCTTAGGCGTTGCCCATGTCTGGTTTCCTCTCCAAGATCAAGGCTCGTCTCGAACCAGGCCAATACTCCACTTTCAAGGAGCCGGGTAGTTTGTTTTTCTTCTTTTCTTTTCCTTGAGTTTCGTTCTTCTGGGGTATAGGATGGGTACGAGCAGCGCTGGAGGAAAACACGGACGAGCAACAAGAGGTATGTACACTATACACTAGTTTTTTTTTTTTTTTTTCCTTGTTTTTTTTCCTGTTCTTAGTTTCTTTGATGTGAGCGTTTCTTTGTTGTTCCATGCTTTAGCAGGAGTCGGAGGACGCACCGCCTCCTCCTTTGCTAGTGGATTTGGTGGAGCGGATGGAACGCGTGAGTCTTGATTCTTCTCCGGTCGAGCATGCGGCAGACGCAGTATCCGATCGTGACAACTCGTCACCTCAGAACGCGTCACAGGAAATGTGGGAGCTGGACAAGTTCGACAGCGTGCTGCCGGATGGCTTTTTCTCGATCATTCCCGTAAGTTTGTAAGTTTGTGAACTTCGTGCGAAGCTATTTTGGTTTTGTGTTTTTTGCAGCACGATAACGCGAAGGTTCGCCGCCCGACGCTTCCTAGTGTGGCGGAACTACGCGATGCTGATTGTGCGATTTGGGATGTTATCCTGGTGGATCCTAGACGGGACAAATTGCTTGTCAGATTGAAGGAGCTTTGCCTTGAGATTGTCAAGGAGGTCGACCCGAACAGTGCAGACGCCATTCGAAGAGTTGCTGGCATGGTAATGCTTTTTTTTTTAACTTCTTGAAGCAACATCTGAAAGAGCTTCTTGCAGGTTGCGGACTTCTATGGTGGTCCTCTCTTTGAAACAGGCTACTCAAAGGAGATAAGCTCAGACGCGGGTGTGACTTTGCTAAGTCAAGTTAAAGTAGGTTTGTGCCGTCCACGTGCGCTGCTATTCAAGTACCTTGCAGATGCTATTGGACTAAAGAGCCGTCTTTTGATGGTATGTTCTTATGCTGTTCATATTGCGGCTTAACGTTTTCTCTCTTTTGCCAGGGTTTGCAACTGGATTCTGTTCCCAGCACGTCATTGATATGTTCGAATCCAAGACGACATTTGACAAACGTTGTGCATTTAAACGGGAAGGAGTTGCTTGTAGATGTGATGCGCCATCCGGGACTCTTGAGATCCTTCACAGTTAAAGCTTTAGTCATGTACCATATTTCTGGACCTGGGGATAGCGATTCTACAGAGTACGATTCGTGCGATTCTCCACTCGAGCCTAACAGTCCTCTTTTTTTCGGTCCACCTGAAAGGTAACTTCATATATTGCGATGCAGTTTAAATATTTTTTTTCTTGCTTCTAGCCCCTCTCAGAGCGAGCCGGACGTGAACAACCTATTGTCCCGTCATAACCGGAGGAAAAGCATGTCTGATGACCGTGGGAACAAATCAAGGTGTGCATTGAACTGTACGTCGGTTCCAGTTCAAATTTGAGTTGACATTGTTGGCAGTAATTTTTAACTACAAAGTGAATGGCTTTTGACAGTCCTGAACTTCCATCCGAAGTAAAGTATTTTCAGAGGAGACATAATATGGTGGACGGTGCTCGAAGTTTTCCCTCAAGGTGGTATGATCATTTACTTTTGTTTTTCTTTAGTTAACTTTTGTCATTTATGTATCACACAGTCCAGAGCATCCCCAGGCTCGCCTTCGTTCTTTCCGGCCTATTAAATCTCAAGACGGCAGCAATTCGAGGTCAGACATAGACTAATCTTTTCCTTCTCATTCTTTTGTTTTGATCTTAACAGTAGTCCAGAAACCGGTGTGAGAATACGAGCACCATCAATTTTGAGTGGTAGTAGAAGGCTTCCCGATGAAGAGCGAACAACAAGTACATCCAGGTAGTCTCTCGCGTCAGAATTTTCATAACACTTTTAAGTTTTTGCAGTCCTGATAATTCTCCCCAGCATGAAAATATATCGGTCTCCAACTTTAGGAGGCGTTCTTCGTCATTCTGCGTTCGAGAAGCTGAAAGAATAACCAGTTCTTCGGAGACTCGAAGAGTTAGGAAACGAACAAATGCTCCTGAAATCAGCGATGACGTAGTGAGGTAGAATTCGACTTTTTATTTGATGATTTATTTTTTGAATTTTAAAAGGGTCGTGCGTGCTATCAACGAGGTAGTTAAACAAGGGAAAAAAGCGAGCGAGCAGGAAGCTCAAGCAAGACTGGTTAGCTGCTTCTTTTATAGTATGACTTTTAACAGTCTCCCACAGGAAGAAGCTGTTAGCGAACCGAATTCATTAAAGCTGTGTGGAAGTTCATCTTCTACACAATCGTTTTCTAGTGATCCGGCTAGGATCTCTAGAGATTTTGGAAAGGAGTGCGGATCCTCTACCTCAATCAATGAACTCCTTCCAAATCATCCGATAATGCCGTACACAGAGTGGACTATTAACTTCACGGAGCTACGTATCGGCATTCGTATTGGGATTGGTAACTTCAAGCGTGTTACATTTTCTCCGTCCTTGATGTTAGAAAGTTAATGTCACAGGATCTTTTGGTGAAGTCTTTCGTGCGACTTGGCGAGGTACGGAGGTTGCTGTGAAGGTCATGCTTGAGCAAGACCTTACACGAGAGAACACCGAAGATTTTTTCAACGAGATCTCTCTCTTGAGGCAAGTTGCATTCTTTCATTTTCCTATATCCTCTTAACCTTGATTTTACCTGGACATGAACAGCCGGCTACGGCATCCTAATGGCAAGTGCTTTCATCTCTTTCTTTGTCGTTGATCTGATATGCTTACTCACAGTCATCTTGTTCATGGGAGCATGCACGAGTCCTCCTCACCTGTCAATGGTTACCGAATACATGCATATGGGCTCACTCTATCGCCTCATCCATATGAGCGGACAAGGAAAGAAGCTAAGCTGGCGAAGAAGACTGAAAATGCTACGAGATATCTGCAGGTATCTTTCGCGCTTTCCCTCTACTGGTTATTACTCTCTAACGCAGAGACGCCGTGATTTATTCAGGGGGATGATGTGCGTCCAACGCATGAACATCATCCACCGGGACTTGAAGAGCGCAAACTGCTTAGTGGACAAGCACTGGTGCGTGAAAATATGTGATTTCGGCTTATCGCGGCTCACCACCGGGACTCCTATCCAAGAGACGACTGCCGCTGGCACGCCCGAATGGATGGCTCCGGAGCTCCTTCGCAACGAACCCGTCTCCTACAAGTGCGATATATTCAGCCTGGGAGTGATAATGTGGGAGCTGTGTACTCTGAAGAAGCCGTGGGATGGTGTCCAGCCTTTACAGGCAAGTAACTCTTTACTCCTCTCTTTGTTTCGCGAAACTTAGCTCCTTGTTCTTCCTTCCAGGTCGTACACGAAGTCTCTGTGAAACGATCCCGTCTGGAAATTCCTCAAGGCCTCCTTGGAAAGCTCATCGCTGGTAAGAAGATCTCGAGGATTTTTCTTCGATCTTTGTGTTCTTCGTGGTTGATCTTTGTGTTCTTCGTGGGGTTCTTAACGCTGTCTTCCAGATTGCTGGCAAGAGAACCCACAGGAGAGGCCAAGCTACGATGAAATACTCACTCGTCTCCACGAGTGTGAGTTTTTGCTCGGCTAGAAAGGAAATATCTTTGCTCTCACAGTTTTGGTCCCCTTTTTCCAACATTGTACAATTAGTGACGAATAATAAACGCGGCATATTTTTCATGTGGAAATATTTTAGGGTTAGGTTAACCGGCGACGACGAGCTCTCATTTTTTTCGCTCTTTTGCGGCAGGAGGCCGACGACGCTCGCCGATAGCGCCTCCAATCGATATCTCGGATTCGTGGCCAGGGATTGCGAGATTGATGCGCGCTCCAGCTCGCGCGGCGCCGCGACGAATTTCCAGGGATTATAGGCTACGTCAGCTGAGTAATCCATCGCTGGAGCTCGTGCGCGAGCATAGGGTAAGCGGCGAGGCGCCCGCATTCTAGGGTTCTTCGGCATTCCAGTGCGGTCCGCGGAAGCGATGAAGAAGCCAGCGCCGGCCTTGATTCCTGCGGATGAGGAGGCGGCGGCGGTGGCGCAGCAGCGATTGGCAGCGGCTGACGCCGGCGGCGCCATGGATAGCTCGTCCGTCTCGGCGTCATCTCGCGCGGCTCGGGGTGGCGACAACGGCGCTAGCGACGAGCAGCCGCGGGAGGGCGGGCAGGAGTCCGTGGTGGTGGAGCGGCGGGGCGATTTTGCGGTGGTGTGTAAGTGGACGATCGTCCAGTTCTCCAAGGTCAAGGCCCGCTCGCTGTGGAGCAAGTACTTCCAGGTCGGGGGCTACGATTGCCGGCTGCTCGTCTATCCCCGCGGCGACTCGCAGGCCCTTCCCGGATACCTCTCCATCTATCTCCAGGTGACCGATCCCTCGTCATCGTCAAAGTGGGATTGCTTCGCCAGCTACAGGCTTTGCGTCGTCAACCAGCGCGACGAGAGCAAGTCCATCCAGCGGGACTCGTGGCACCGGTTCTCCGTGAAGAAGAAGTCGCATGGATGGTGTGATTTCACGCCGTCGACCGTGGTGCTGGATCCCAAGAGCGGGTTTCTTGTCAACGAGTCGGTGCTCATCACGACGGAGATCCTCATCCTCAGCGAGGTGACGAGCTTCAACCGCGACAACAACGACCTCCTCTTGGCTCCCCCGCCGGAGGCTCTCAGTGGCAAGTTTACGTGGAAGGTCCAGAACTTGTCGCTCTTCCGGGACATGATCAAGACGCAGAAGATCATGAGCCCCGTGTTCACTGCCGGGGAATGCAACCTCCGGCTCAGCGTTTATCAGTCGTCGGTTGGCGGTGTGGAGTACCTGTCGATGTGCCTCGAGAGCAAGGACACGGAGAAGACGTCGTCCTCGTCGGAGCGGAGCTGCTGGTGCCTCTTCCGGATGTCGGTGCTAAACCAGAAGCCCGGGCTGAGCCACATGCACAGAGACTCGTATGGGCGCTTTGCCGGGGACAACAAGAGTGGGGACAACACCAGCCTGGGATGGAACGACTATATGAAGATCTCCGATTTCATGGCTCCGGAGATGGGCTACCTCGTTGACGATTCCGCGACTTTTACTGCGTCCTTCCACGTGATAAAAGAGTCGAGCAGCTTTGTCAAGACGCCCATCGGCAACCGCTCCGTGAGGAAGAGTGACGGGTACCAGGGGAAGTTTCTTTGGAAGATCGAGAACTTTACCAAGCTCAAAGATCTGCTGAAGAAGCGGAGGATCACGGGGCTTTGCATTAAGAGCAAGCGATTTCAAGTTGGCAATCGGGACTGTCGCCTTATTGTCTATCCTCGAGGTATGTAACTGTTTATCTCTGCTCTACGACCTGACGTGTTTTTGTAAAATGCAGGACAATCGCAGCCGCCCTGCCACCTTTCTATGTTTCTGGAGGTTACGGACTCCAGAAATTCGTCGGCAGATTGGAGCTGTTTCGTTAGCCACCGCCTTTCTGTGGTTAATCATCGTGAGGAGCGCTCCGTTATCAAGGAGTCTCAGAACCGATATTGTAAGGCTGCTAAGGACTGGGGGTGGCGTGAGTTTATCACACTCACCAACCTTTTCGACCAGGATTCTGGTTTTCTTGTTCAGGACATGGTCACATTTTCTGCAGAAGTACTAATTTTGAAGGAGACATCAATGATCACTCCCGACTGTGAAGGGAAGTCAGGTGTCAATGGGATGGAATGTGGAGCTAACCAGGGGATGTTTACCTGGAGAGTTGAGAACTTTTTGGCTTTCAAAGAGATCATGGAAACTCGGAAGATATTCAGCAAGTTTTTCCAGGCTGGGGGCTGCGAACTTCGAATCGGTACGCATAACTTTGGAATTATACTTTCGTTTATTCAACAATGTGCCTGGCTGCATGAACAGGTGTTTACGAATCTTTTGACACACTCTGCATTTATTTGGAGAGCGATCAGTCCCCTGGTACCGATCCTGACCGCAATTTCTGGGTCCGGTACCGTATGGCGGTCGTAAATCAGAAACACGCCGATCGAACTGTTTGGAAAGAGTCCTCCATCTGTACAAAAACGTGGAATAACTCCGTGCTCCAGTTTATGAAGGTTTCCGACATGGTGGAGCCAGACGGTGGGTTTATGATGCGTGACACGATCGTATTTGTTTGCGAGATTCTGGACTGTTGCCCGTGGTTTGAGTTCTCGGATTTGGAGGTATGTTTACTTGTCGTTTTTAGCAAATCATGCTGTGGTGTTGCAGGTTTTAGTCTCCGATGATGACCAAGATGCTCTTTCGACTGATCCGGATGAGTTACTGGAGTCTGACGACTCCGACGGTAGCAGCGAAGACGAAGAAGATATTTTCAGGAACTTACTTGCAAGAGCAGGCTTTCATATGAGCTACGGTGACAATCCTCAGCGGCTTCTCGATCCCCGGGAAAAAGTTTCCATGGACGCAGGAGCAGTCGCAGCATTTCTAACTGATCTCCGTGTATATCTGGACGATCCGGTGAAGGTGAAACGTCTGCTTTTACCCGCTAAAGTCTCCACGGTCGCAAGTTCGTGCAAGCTGGGGAATGGTAAAGAGGCGACAACTTCTCCTAGTTTGATGAACCTGTTTATGGGAGTCAAGGTGCTTCAACAGGCCATTGTCGATCTTCTGCTGGATATAATGGTGGAGTGCTGCCAGCCTGCAGAATCGAAGAAGCATAACGACCGTCAGAATGGGAAGCTTCAAGCGGTTCCAGAGAGTGCCAAGATTGATCTCAACTCGAGAGAAGGTGGCACTGCTGCTTTGAATGAAGAGGATTCTGCACAGAGGGTGTTCAACCAGAGGCTGGACGACGCTGCTGATGGCATTGGCTGCCTACAAGCGGTACAAAGCTGTGAAATAGATGGTAAAAGTGTCGCTCAAGTACCTGAATCAGAGCCATCAGTAATCCATTCAAACGAGGTAAGCTAGTCTTGAATTTTCTGTTGGATCACTAACATGGCCACTCATTGTCTGTGGATTCGAGAAGCTAAGATGGCCTGAACAATCGGAAGAGCTCTTTCGGCTGATCGTGAACTCCTTGAGAGCTTTAGATGGGGCTGTTCCACAAGGCTGTCCAGAACCAAGGAGACGACCACAGTCTGCGCAGAAGATGGCTTTGGTCTTAGAGAGGGCTCCGAAATACCTGCAACACGATCTCCTGGCGCTCGTTTCTAAACTTGTGGATCCTTCCGAACATCAATCGGTCGCTTCCACACTTTTAGATTGGCTTCAAAGAAAGGACACGGACATCAACTTGCGTCTAGCGGTAGGTGCTAAGTCTCTCCATACATTGTTTCTATCGCTCTTTATTGCAGGGTCTTGGGGCATTGGTCCAACTTGATCTGAATACGGAAGTTTGGGAACAAATCCTCCAGCACGCGCTGCGGATTTTTGCCCACTCTGAAGACGAGGCTCTGATTACCATTATCACATACATTTTTAAAGCTGCCGCCAAGTGTTATCAACTTCCGCAAGCGGTAAGACCAGCTTTTGTCGTGAACCTGATTTAGTGGTTTAATGCTACAGGTGAAAGCCGTGCGAGGGAGGCTCAAGATGCTAGGGACTAGTGTTTCTCCAAAGGTTCTTGAGGTAGTAAGAGACATGATATTCACTTGTCCTGGTGTGGGAGAAGCATTACTTAGGGACATCGACGCAGATAGTGAATGCAGTGATAGCGACGGTCTTTCAGTTTTTGGTTATGGGGGACAGGGCGACGCAGCAAGAATCGCAGATGTAGATATTTTGTTGGAGATGCTCAACGTTTCTCCTTTCGTAGTAGAAGCTCAACGGTTGATCGAGAGGGTGGTGGCAAGGGGTACCATTAGTAATTCTTCTGTGTATAAGGTGTTATGCATCCGACGGGTTGGGAAGGCAAAGGATTCCAGGGACGCAGGCAGTGCCTCACGGAGCCCTGACTCAACGTCAAGTCCGGACTGCATGTTTACGGCTCTTCTGGCACTCGTGAAGGCAATATCCAGCTCCAAGGATTCCAAGGTTCGTGAATTTGTCAGCACTTTGTACACTGACATGTTCAAGTTATACTGCGATGACGGCTTGCGGGAACGCATGGTTCGGGGTCTTGTAGAACGTGCGACGAACAGCAGTAGATGTGGGGACGATGATCAGCTAGAGATGAACATTTTGACGCTTTTAGTCAAGCAGGAGGAAGGGAAGGAAGGGAAGGAGTTGAAGATAGTGCCTACCGTTCTGCGTATGATGCGTAAAGCGGTACAACAAGCAAACGTCGAGTGCGCTTCAATTCGGCAGCAGCTGTCTGCCCGCGAAGAAGAGCTTGCGAAGGTTCGGAGTGACAAGCAAAATGAAGTCACCCGGTTTGCACGAGAGAAGGCTTCGCTTTCGCAGCGTCTCTCAGAAGCTGAGGCTGGACAGTTGCGGGTTAAGGTGCGGTCTCTTTTTGCATGTCGAGTTTCTAAGTTTGATGTTTTTGTTTTTTGTTTTTCAGTTAGAGCTGAAGGGAGAGATAGAGCGTTTGTCGAGGGATAAAAATGAGGCGATTGAGCGGTTGAGAGACACCGAGAGCCAGCTCGAGTGGTCTCGTTCAGAGCGGGAAGACGAACAAGCCAGCCATGCGTCTGAACGGAAGCGTCTTGAAGACCGATTGCGTGACGCTGAGTCCCAGATATCGCAATTCAAACGCAAACGCGACGATCTAAAGGTTCGTCTTTCGACAAAAAGTTTATGCAGTGCTGACGTATCTTTTTCTCTCCTACAGAGGATTACGAAAGAGAAGACCGCGCTTGCCGAAAGACTGAAGTCCACGGAGGCCGTGTGTGCAAACTACGCCGAAGAGTTCGACCGTCTATCGGCAAAGTCTGTCACGCGAGACGAGCTGTGCCGGTCGCAGGAAGAGGATATCCGCAAACTAAAGGAAGCGCTAGAGCGATCCGAGGAAGACAGCCGTGGGAAGGACCTACAGATAAGTCAGTACAAATCGTATGCTCACAACATGGACACTACAAACCAGGCACTACAGGTACGTCGTCTACAGTTCATTTTGTCACGTCCATTCTGATCGAGCTCTCTTGCGCAGGAACGCGTCGAGAGCCTGCAGTCGTCGATCCGAGAGGAGCTCCACATGCACGCGCCTCTCTACGGCGTGGGCCTGGAGACGCTCTCCTTTGGCGAGCTGGAGATTTTGGCGAGAATACACGACGAGGGGCTGAGGCAAGTGAGAGCTCTCCAGATGGCGCTTCGCGGTGACTTGCACGCTGCTCCTCCGCCGCCGCCGAGGCATTTCGGACTGCCCGCCGTGGCGCGGCCGAGCAGCAACGGCACGGCCGGGTTCCATGGAAGTGGACGCGCCAATGGTACAGTAAGCTCCTGGTTTCCTTCGACATCATAAAAGACGCAGGTTGTGTGCTTGGTTTTGATTTGTAGCGTGTGGTGCCTGGTACTAATCCTCGCTTCTCTCTTGTGAATCACAGGCGTTTTATGTTAGAGAGACGACGAGCACTACCACTACTGCTGCTACTAATAACAGACCGTGTAGAGGCTATTAAGATTTTGAATGCCCGGATTATCTGAGCATTACATCGTCCGTCCAGGTTCTCTTTTTTAATTTTTTCCTTTATCGTTTTTCTATTGCATTTCTCTCCTCTTTGTTTGAGAACAGGTGGTCGCCCTTGTAAAGCTCTCTTTTTGTCATCACGACTAAAATGCATTTTCTTTCTAGTTTTTGTAGAAAGCGCAGCCAGGAAAAAGCTTTAAAAAGTAAAAAAAAAAGCAAAAATTTCTCCGTGTTTATATTCCTAGAAGTGTTTGTGAGGGAGAAAAGAGTGTGGGGTGTGTGTGTGTGTGTGTGAGAGAGAGAGAGAGACAATGGCGGGGCTTGTGTTCTTATCGATTCTAGCTTTGGTTGTGGCGATTCCACACACCACTCTGGCCTTAGAACTCGTAGCCTCCAACGCAAGTCCAGCGTCCCCAGGAGGGCAGCGCTTCGACGCGGAGCTGGGCATCAACGGCGCCCTGTCCATGATGGTGGACGCCATCCACTACATACAAATGGCCTTCGCCTACTCGAGCCCGGCCACCCCGAGAAAGACCGTCGACACAATCACTTTCACTCTCGAGGACATGCCCGGCGTCGCCTACACGTACGGCAGCCAATTCCACCTCAGTGCCTCGTACGTGGCGGGTTACACTGGCGAGTTCCAGCGCGAGATGCGAAGCATTGTCTACCACGAGATGACTCATGTGTGGCAGTGGGACGGCAAGGACGGGAACCGGGCGCCGTCTGGACTGATCGAAGGGATCGCGAGCTTCATCACGCTCAGCTATGTGAATGATCTCAGGCCCGGGTTTGTGACGGAGCTCAATTCCAAGCTCGCCACCGGGTGGAGCGAGAGCTTCTTCAGTGACCTTACGGGGAAGAGCGTGGAGCAGCTGTGAGTGACTATAAGTCGAAGTATCAACATAGGCATTTGCTATAATGCTAGCGTTTGAACCTCATCTCTTAGTGTTTGGCATTGTAATGTTTATATCAGTCTGCAAACTTTTATTAATGGAATCTGTGTTTGTCATCACCTCACAGCTGATCCACGCTCTTTCCAGTCGGATCCTGGAAGTAGCTCTCGAAATGCCTTGTCCCGGCATTTGCAACAACGCTAGTGTTTGAGCATGTTTTAAAATCTAAAAGCTTTTACTTTGGGCACCAGAATTACTTTCCTATACAACATCTTGTTTGTGGAACTTCTGTTTGTAATCATTCCACAGCTGATCCACGCTCTTCCCAGTCAGATCCTGGAAGTAGCTCTCGCTCCAACCGTCGTAGAGCTTCTTGTTGAGCTCCGCCACGAAGCTGGGGTGGAGATCGTTGACGTAGTTTAGAAACAGCGCGGTCACGGCATACCCCTCGTCCCAGTGGTTCCCCGACCCCACAAACCCATTGCCTGATACCCCGAGCTTAGCCTTGAGCCTCATAAAGTCGGCAATCCCCTCGATCAGTCCCTGCGGCGGCCAGCTCCCCTCCTTGCCATGCCACTGCCAAATGTGAGTCATCTCGTGGTACAAGATGCCTGTGAGCTCACGAACCATATTCCCAGTCAAAGTAGCAACGTACTGTGCGCTGAGATGGATCTCCACACCAGTAGCATAGGCCACCCCGGGCTTGTCATCCACGGTGAAGTGGATGGCATCGACCTCCTTCTTGGGCATGTCGGGGTTCTCATACTCGAAGCCAAGCTGGACGAAGGCCATGGCATCGTAGAGGATGGAGAGGGCTCCATTTACTCCCATGATGGAGTCAAATCGCTGGCCTCCTGGGGATTCCGGGGTTGTGTTAGTGCCTGTGATGGAGGTTGCTTGCGTTACCTGGGACGTTGCTAGTCTAATTAGGATGATAAGAAAGCGGAGGAATCGTGCCATTCCTTTTCTTTCTTTTCTTTATTGTGAATATTTATTATAGATTAGAGAAATTACTCTGCAGAGCCAATTGTCAATATTGTCTCATTGAGAAATTAGAATAGGCTGTTGTTTTCTACCTTTGTTTGAAGACAGGGTGTTTAAGGCTTTCTTAGCTGGGTTGCAAAGAAAAGAAAACAAATGGAAACCAAAGAAAAGAGAAGAAAAATCTCAAAGGCTTAGTTATATATTGGTTCATTTTTAGTCATAAATAGCAGAGCAATTTAAGATTTAAGCATCCCTTTATTGTCATAATTGTAACTTATTTAATTGGAGGGGGGTGTATCACATATGACCGATCATAAATATATTCCTATGAAAATCCCAAATCATTTAAAATTAAACATTTTTTCTTTAATCTATTTTTTCAAAATTATGTAATTTTAAAAATAATTCAATTGTGTTTAAATTTTAATTTTTTTAATTTTTAATTTAATTATATTCACCTTGCTATAATCTATGTATAATTATATTTATAAATATATTTATATAAATACTTAACTTATTATAAAATTATAAATATTTATATAAATATTAATCAAATATAATAACATTAAGACATAGCATTATTATTTTTAGATGGCAATATCACTGTTATTATATAACCTTAATTTATGTTAATATTCATTACTAGCATATGAAAAAATATGATTTGTTTAAATATATTTAAAGCTTGGTTAGAAGACTTTTCACCTTGCATAGTTAAATCCGATCCTTGGAGCACCTGCCAATCAGTTTAAGAATTTTTATATGCTTTTTTGTGCTCATTAGGGATATATTAAATTTATTCTAGATTAATTAACATAAAATGTTATAGTCAAGTAAGTTATAAATTTTATAAATTATTAATGTTCACTCCTCCATAAAAGTATTACCTTCATATAGTTTATTTAAATTTTTAAATAAATATATATTAAAATAAATATTTTTTTAAGTACTAACTACAATTTATTTTATCATAAATATTATATATAAAATATTAAATACACATTGTTATTTTTATTACCTAGATTTAAGGGCTCCTTAATTGATGTAAATACCATAAAATTTTAAATTTAATAATCCGAAATGTTCAATAATTTATTGCACTTCTAGCAATTCTCGTTTTGCTTTACTTTATTGAAAATCTTGGGTAATAAATAAAAAATAAAATAAATTAGAAAAATAAGAACAACAAAATGAGATCACAACTAAAAAATATATATGATTTACAAGAGTGGGAAAAGCAGAAGACAGAGTGTTTGAAACACAAGACTAATATACTTTTCTAAAACACTAAGACAAACATCTTTTACATTGGCATTTGGAAGAATATACATGCATCATTTTAAATTATCAACAGCTTTTTGAATTATCATTTAGCCTTTAAATATTGCAATAACCTGGACCAGAAGTATGAAGAATAGGGTGTTTATCTTGACAGGAGCCTTAATAGAACAACCCAACATACATCTTCATGATGACAGTCAATCATACAATAGTCAGTTTCAAAGACAATATGCAAGATTCAATTACTTGAAGAAATGTTATGAAAGAAGCTCTTGGTTTTGGCTACAAAGAAGAAAGAAAAAAACACTTTTGTACCAAAGTGAATGAGAAAAACTCATTGAGGTGATTGTTAATCATTTTCATTGCCTGCTACTTCACCTCTAGTGTTCTTACTATAAATTATGTGGTAGGTATCTTCATGGAGAGGCTAATAATAACAAAGGTAAGCATTTGCTTTTTACTCATTTTGTACTTACTAATCTATTTAGAAAGTTTCAAGTGGCATGGCAATGGTCTAGGTTGGAGTGATTCTTGCACATGTTATTACCACTTTCCTAGCTTTTCACAAAGGGCTTTGACCTTGAGGTAAGGCTTATAGCCACACTTGATATCTTGCGATAGAGCTAGTAGATCTTGTCATGAGAGCTCGTTAGCTTGCATAGCAAATCAATCAAGACGATGTAGGCAGCATATCTAGAAAATAAATCTAGGAACAAGAAAAAAAATTGAGAGATTTTCTTATTCCTTATTTCTTCTTAGATAGACAAGTAGAAAGATCGTTTTTTTCCAATTGAAACTTGACATGCTGCCCAATTATTGACCACAAAACACATTCGGGGCCTTGAGCTCACAACCTTGAAATTAGGGTTCTTTTGATCGAATTCAATTAAATCTGAACTATTGGATTAATTCAAAATAAATGGTATGAAAAAACAAATTTTGATACTTAATATTAACTCTGAATATAATAAAAGCTTGCCGAAGTGTTTTTTCTAGCGAGTAGGTCGTCCATGCATAGGCAATCCTATATGATGCCAGGCATATCCTATAGAATGATGCTTATCGGGGTGGTATGTAGTCTAAAGCTATGAAATAAACTTTATTATTGAAATTCTGTTTGTAATCTTTCCAGTCAGATCCTAGAAGTAAGCTTCTTGTTTAGCTAGCTCTTCCATAAAGCTGGGATGGAGATCATTAACATAGTTTCGAAACAGCATAGTCACGGCATACCCCTCATCCCAATGGCTCCCGGACTCTAAACCCATGCCCAATAGCTACAGCTTAGCCTCGAGCCTCATAAGGTTGGCAATCCCCTCGATCAGTCCCAGAGGCACCCAACTCCCAAATATGAGTCATCTCGTGGTACAAGATGCCCTGGAGCTCATGAACCAAGTTCCCAGTGAAAGTAGCAACATACTGTGCACTGAGATGCCAATGGCATAGGCCACCCCAGGCATGTCATCTACAATGAAGTGGATGGTGTTGACGTTACCTGAAATGTTGCTAGTCTTAGGATGATAAGTAGGAGGAGAAAGGCTGCCATTTTTTTTTTCTTTTCCTTATATCATTATTTCACTTATTGAATAATAGTATGTTTTCTAGGATAATTTCTTAATAAGTCAGATGATCATAAAAAAGAAACAATTATTTACTATATTGATCAATTAGCTTCCAAACTCCAAACCCAAGGGTGGTGGGGTGCTAGCTTAGCATGTGAAAGGTATTGCTTTCTTTTCTCTCTTATGTAATCTTTGTTATGGATATCAGAAAGGAAACAATTGTAAGAATCTTTAGCAAAACATTTACTATTTATTTTGGTGGGATTAAATATAAAGTAAAACTTCTTTTGGTAGACAAAGTGATTTGAAGTAATATACAATAAGCTTTATGATAATAAACTACATGAAAACTTAAAAACTCAATGAGTAAATAATAATTTAACTAACTATAAAATAGAGAGCATGGTGAAAGTGTTATTATTAGGAAAGAAAACATGAAGACTGTCACATGGAAAATTTCCTACACTAATGCTTTAGTTTTAACTTTTTATATTTTATTATTTTAATTAAAAATTAATCTAAAGTATTCAATTCCTTATAAATTTACCATTATCTAACCATTGAAGATTCAAAAAGCTAAATACATTCTGAATGCTTCTTTCTAGCTAGTAACTGGTTCCTTCTAGGAGTGTAGTTTATTAATAAATCTATGAACAAAAGTTCCTCATTGAAATTTCTGTTTGTAATCGCTCCACAACTGATCCACACTCTTTCCAGTCAGATCCTGGAAATAGCTTTCACTCCACCCGTCATAGAGCTTCTTGTTAAGCTCTGCCACAAAGCTGGGATGGAGATCGTTGACATAGTTTAGAAACAGTGCAGTCACGGTATACCCCTCGTCCCAGTGGCTCCCCGACCCCACAAACCCATTGCTCGACACGCCTAGCTTAGCCTTGAGCCTCATAAAGTCGGCAATCCCCTCGATCAGTCCCTGCGGCGCCCGGCTCCCCTCCTTGCCGAACCACTGCCAAATGTGAGTCATCTCGTGGTACAAGACGCCTCGGAGCTCAAAAACCAAGTCTCCAGTGAAAGTAGCAACAAACTGTGCGCTGAGATGGATCTCCACACCAATGGCGTAGGCCACCCCAGGCATGTCGTCCACTGTGAAGTGGATGGTGTCAATCTCCTTCTTAGGTGTGTCGGGGCTCATATACTCGAAGCCAAGCTGGACGAAGGCCATGGCGTCGGCGAGGATGGAGAGGGCTCCATCTACTCCCATGACAGAGTCGAAGCGCTGGCCTCCCGGGGATTCTGGGGTTGTGTTGGCGCCTGTGATGGAGGTGCCTTGAGTTACCTGGAACGTCGCTAGGATAATGAGGAGAAAAATTGCCATTTTCTATATGTTTTTCTTTTCCTTCATTTGAGTTATTATTCCAAATGTAGAGTCAAACTCGCCCATTGAATAATTGTCTATGTTTCCTGGGATGGTTTCTCAATAAGACAGATGATCAAACAATTATTTTATTTTTCCGGCATCACTCCTTCTAAAGGTAGACCCCAACAAAGGGTGGTAGAGCGCTCAATTGAGGATCGATATTCCTTTTCTTTCTCTTTGTTTTCGTATGCCCTTGCTCCGGCATTTGCTGCAAAGAAGCCTAGAATCTTTGCCAGATCGCCGGGAGCCGGAAGAGCTCATCCATCTCCTCCACACCTGCGCATCCCTGCGATTGGTCGATGGTGGTAGGAAGCTCCACGCCCATATCTCCCGTCTGGGCCTTCTTGAAAGGGATGGGCGTCTCGCGAATCACCTCATCGACATGTATGGCAAGTGCGGGCATTTGGAGGATGCCAAGGCTGTGTTCCAAAGCCTTGACGCGAGTAAGAGGAGCTCTCTCTCGTGGAGCGCGCTCATCACGGCTCACGGCTCATGTGGATCGATCGGAGGGGCTGTTGGCCTGCTGGACGACATGGAGGAGCAGGGAATTCTCCCGGATCAAACCGCCCTCTTGACAGCGCTCAATCTTTGCTCCACACACGGCGCTCTCGCAGAGGGCATTGTGGTACACAAAAGAATAGCGGATCGTGGGCTGGAGAAGAATGTGATAATCTCAAATGCGATTACCAACATGTATGGAAAATGCGGCAAGATCGACCAAGCTAAAGATTTCTTCGATAGAATGTATTTCCGAGACACAG